TAGGCTGTTTTAATCAAACACGTTTCCCTTTTGTTTGAGGAAAAGTACTAGCATCCGTCGGCCTCTTCTGCCTCAGGTGAGAGCAGTCAGAGAACAACCCTGGGAATGGGTCGGGAATCCCTCCCAGCTGGGAAAACTGGCTTGTCTAAAAGTGCTCTAGGCATCTCTAAAGGCCAGTGGAGATACAGTGCTGCTTCTCTGACCCTCATCCCCTCATCAGAGGCTTCCCTTAAGGGCAGCTTGCAGCTAATCTGTCTAATCCCGCGCTGGGTAGACCTTTGGCTGCAGCGAGACCTTCCTTTGCCAAAATGGCAGCAGCAGCAGCCACAGATGCTGCCCAGAGCAAAGGCAGCAGACAAGATCTCATGAACCTCTCTCTGGCCGCTTCATGAAACCTGCACAAGCGCTCTGGGACATGGGCAGCAAATGGCTGGAAATAAATGTGCTCAAGTGAAAAAAACCCTGAGCTGAGGTTTGGAAGCTGTGTGCAAGGAAAGATGATGGCTCTGTCTGCGTGGCAGAAGCTGTGCCCTGGTGGCACTGGGTGCCAGAGGCAGCCGTGCCTCTGAGCACGCCAGGACGGAGCAGCGTCCGTCAGTGGGACCTGAGCTTGGACCACGATAGCTCTCACTTCCAGTGAGCCTTGCTGTGACCAGCCCCCTGGCAGCGAGGGTTACTCAGGAGCTCTTGTCGTCTCTGTGCCTCGCTCCCAGGTGTGGACAAGGGCCGTGTCTTTTTGCTGCTGTAGCCACGGAAACGGTGGCATTACTTGACCATTCTCTGGACCTAGTGAAGGCATTAGGGCCTGGCACCATGGCAGCATCTTGCCAAGGAGTCAGCTGGACGTGGGCCCCCTTCCTTCTGTCCTTGGTGAGGCCCCAAACGGGCTCGCTCTGAAGCGTGGCAACGCTGCCTGTGCTGGGAGGATCTGCTCGAGCTAACAGAAGCAGGAGTCACAAAGATCAGAGGCAAAGGTGTCGGGAGCAAACGGGATGCGCGGCAGGATATGACTCTCTCTTTTTCTCCCCGGCAGGTCGCAAGGCAGGGAAAGGCTTTTATGTTTACCAGGAGGGGGTGAAGAACAGGAGCGTGAATTCTGGCATGGATGAAATCTTGGCGCGGTTCAAAGTGCCAGCCAAACCTGAAGTGTAAGTAGCTGTGCCTGCTGAGCGGTGGTGTGGGCTGGCTCTCACCCCTGCCCAGCTCCTTCTCCTGCCTCTAAGCATCAGTGCAAGCCTGCGCCCGGCAGCACCGGAGGACAGCGCTAAGCATGGAGTCACTCCAGCTGGCATTTGGCTCTTCCCAGCTGGCACGTAGGGGGGCAGGCTGTTGGCTCTGGAGAGCCCGTGCTAGTAGGAATGGGGCATCCTCGAATTTATCAGCATTTGCTTGGGCACCTTTGCAGAAAGTTTTTCTGTGGTGGGGCTTGCCTGGGTGAGAGGGATGGTGCGGCTGGTGTCGGACCTGTTGTACCGCCTGGCACTGAAGCACCTCCTGGAGCGGTTCCCATCTGGCCTGGTCAAGCCTTTGCCATTCTTATGTGCCTGCTTCGGGACACGTCACAGAACTTGGTCCTTATCCTCATGGGGAGAGGGACAGTCTCAGTGAGACACCGTTCTCTCCCCTGCCCCAGGCCTGGCTCTGTCCCCAGTCTGTGCTGGCTTCTCGTGCTCCTCCATCCAGCTGCTGTGTTACCTGCACAGCCCTTACAGACTCTTTCCTTGCAGCTGTACTGACGAGGACATCCAGATGCGCTTGGTGACGAGGTTTGTGAATGAAGCAGCCATGTGCCTGCAGGAAGGGATCCTCAGCAACCCTGTGGAGGGAGATATTGGTGCTGTGTTCGGCTTGGGCTTCCCACCATGCCTGGGAGGTAAGCGGTTTCGGCTGGGGTTTGGGCTAGGCTGCCTGGCTTGGCTTGAAAACTTCGTAGTGGGCTTGCCTAGTGGGCTCTCGCTAGCAGAGGCGAGTCAGCGGTTAAGGCCAGGTTTGAGCTGCAGTCTGACAAGCCTGAGTGTCCTTCTCCCACGTAAACCCTGCGCCAGAGAGGTTGCTCCAGTGTTCCCACCCCACGAGAGGTGGGAGCGAGCCTGAGAGCTGCTGTGGGACCTTTCTGCCAGGACCCTGTGGAGTTCCTCTGCTGGTACAGCTGTTTCACAGAGCTGTGGCTGGTGAGGATCAAGGGACTCCAACCAGGTCATCTGCTGTGTCTTCAGGTTTGAATAGGAAGGCAGAGCCGTGCTGGCCCCAGCCTCATCAGCTCTTCCCGTGAGAACCTCGGAGGAAGAGCTTTTACCATGCCTGATAGTCATGGGGGTGTAGGTGGGATGGGAGATTTGCAAAGGCCCTACATTTTTAAGAAATCCTCGGGTTTTGTGCAGCCATATGGCGCTTGGTGAAAAACAAGGCTCTGATATCTCATCTCTTGCCACTGCTACTTGCCTGGGCGGGCAGGCAGGCGTCTTGCGGCGCTTCTGGAAACCGGGCCTTGTGCTGCACACAGAGTTGAGAAATGGTGCCCAGGGACGCCCCGTTCCTCCCGTGCCCGCACGTGGCACAGATGAAGCTGAGCTGATAACCCCAGCCGTGGTGCGCAGCCCTTTCCAGGCCAAGGTACTAGCCAAGAGCGTGGGCAAAGTTCTCCTGGACCCATCTGCAGCCTGGCTGGGTGGCTGTGGCCGCGGCCTGGGCAACGGACCAAGCATGAGCTGAGGTTTGGGTCGCAACTGAGGGATCCTAAGGGCTCTTGGGCATGAGGTGGTGCTTCAGCCAAGCGCCCAGCATTTCCCCTCCTCAAGGCAAGCTCAGACTAAGGGAGTGGTCCCAGTTATGCTTGTCCCCAGCAACCCAGTAACCCCTGCTCAGCGCAGGTGGGCGGACGGAGCAGGGTCCTGCGTTGCCCTGCCAAGGCACCCGGGGGCGTCTCTTGGAGAAGGATGGATCGGCCGAATCGAGTGCTCTCACCCTCCCAGGCACCTTGGTGCCTCTTGCTTCCTTGGCACAGATGTGTCCCCCTGTCCCCGGCAGGTCCCTTCAGGTACGCGGACTCCTACGGAGCCAAGCAGCTGGTGGACAAGCTGCGGAAGTACGAGGCCGTCTACGGCAGCCAGTTCACGCCGTGCCAGCTGCTGCTGGACTACGCCAACAGCCCAAGCAAGAAATTCCACCAGTGAGCGTGGCGCGACGCCGCCCACCCGCGACATGCCGACAGCTCCAGCTGGGGCCACCAGCTCTCCAGCGACACCCCATTCTCTGTAGGTTAATCTGCAAAGCGCCCAGGGGAGGCAGGGAAGGAAGGAGGGTGGCAGCGGGTTGCCTCGTGGCTTGTAGTCATTTCAAGTGCCTTATCAGCTCCTGTGTGTTGGGCACGTCCGTCCCGTGCCAGCGTGGGCCTGGTGGCTCCTTGCTGGGAGAGAGAATTTCTTCTGCCTTCACCTCCATGCTGCGACCTCCAGAGCTCCTGGTCTGGCAGGCAGCATCCAGCACGCGTCTGGCCCTGAGGCCTTGCCTTTCCGCATGCCTCCAACAATAGATCCCCGTCTCCTGGGTTTGGACTCCATGCCTGCTTCTCCTCCCGTCTCGCTGGGGCAGCAGCCTCTCGGCACCGAGGAAGGGAACCGCTCGAGTCGGAAATAAAGCGTTCAGGCAATCCTCTGGGGTCCTCTCCGTGTTTGCCGGCTGAGAGACCCACAAAGGGGCTGCTGGCGGTTGCCGGAGGGTGGGGAAAGGCAGGGGAGGGCAGCAGTGCGGAACAAAGACCGGCTCTGTCACCTCGGCCATCAATCAGGGGCTGTGAGGAGCCTCTGGCTCTTTTGTCTGGCCCCGAGCGCTGCCGCCGGGGTTATCCTGGCAGATGGACCCGCCTGTAATTGCAAATCAAGCAGCCAAAGGCCAGAAGGGTCCCCCGTGGGGAGAGCTCAGTTTAAACTAAAAGGCTTTAAATCTCCGTGCACCTGTCGGTAATTTCGGGGCTGGCCTGGCCTCCAGCTCCTGGCTCGCTGCCTCCCTGGGCTCCAGCCTCCCTGGGCTCCAGCCTCCCTGCGCCCTGCTAGGGCTCGGGCTGGGAGCTGGGGTGATGCTGCTCTTTTCATGTCACGTTCCTGCTCATTTCTCAGAGCCGCCGGTACACAATTAGGCTGAGACATCGTCTCATCCTGCCGCTGCAGCCTGCTGGGGAGGCGCCGGGCTGCCTGCGGAGCTGCTAACCGGCAGCAGCCCCCCGGAGCTGCCCTTTGCACGAGGGCTGTGCAGGGGCTGGGGTTTTGGGGTAGCCCTGCTCCCCCTGCGTCGGGGCTGGGGAGGTCTGGTCCCAGACCCTCCCATTGCTCTGCCTCCATCGAGCTCTGCGGTGGAGCTCGGGGGTCTGTGGGGCGCCTCGCCATGGGGCCCTGAGAGAGCGGGTGCTTCGGGTGGTGGGTGCAGCCCTGCGGGCAGGTCTCTGCCGCCCTTTCCCAGGGTGGCCCGCATCCATCAGGCAGGGGAGCTTCCTTCCAGGGCCCCGAACTCACCCTGGGGTGCAGGCAGCCCAGAGCAGGTCCGAGAGCCACGCTGGCCCTTGCGTGGAGGACCCTGGTCCCTTGCCACGCACCGGGGATGGGGCAGCTCTGTACCACCCCGGCCAGCTGGGGTGTGCGAGGGTGCGAGCCTCCTTCCCCACCAAGAGCCCCTTTCCCCCTCCTCCCCAGGCAAGGAGCTTCTCCGGGGGCTCGTTTTTCTCCCATACGTTTATTACGCTAATCCACAAGGATTAAGTTAAACCAGTCAACGCAAACTCCGGTATTTTCCAGCCCCTTTGGGCCAAAATTACCGTCCAGTGTTAAAACAGAAAGGAAGGGAGGGCTGGGCGATAGGGCCGAGCTGCCCGGGAGGAGGAAACCCCATGGGCGGTGGGGCAGAGGCACTGCCGCATCGGCGTGCCCCGGAGCGGGAGCAGGGAGAGCCAGAGCTGTGGTCCAGGTGGCTGGGGGACCCCCACGGTCCAGGGGGTCCCCGGCACGCGGCTAGATCTTGGGGCGCCAGCCCTTGATGAACTGCATGATCTTCTTCACCTGGAGCTTGGTGAGACGGAAGTCGTCGGCCAGGATCTCCTCGCTGAGCTGCACGAAGATGCTGCCGTCGATGCGCTCACGGGCGAAGAAGCTGACCACGTCCTCGGAGAGGCCGATGAAGCGCAGGCACTTGGAGACCTCCTCCAGCGAGAGAGCCGAGAGGTCGGCGGGGGGCAGCCAGGGCGAGCCGTCCCCGCTGGGACGGGGGGGGGCCGGGGGGGGCCCCCCCCCCCCCCCCCCCCCCGGGGGGGGCCCC